CCAGGTAAACGACGAACTAAGAATGCTGCCTGCACGTCGAGATGAGCCACCCTCTTGACTCCCTGTTTGTCTCCCCTTTGCCGTCATTTATTCGCAATGTCTACCTCTTGGCCCGTGTCTTGTGTACAACCTTGTCTCCGAATTTAATATAAACTCCGAGCCAGGTGAGCAAATATAGGCAAGTGAAGGGCATGCGACAGCGGCAAGGCAAACGGCAATTAAATTAGAGAAGGACAAAAAAAACAAAAAAACACAGAGAGATAGTCTGTTGACCTCTTTTGGACATCTAGATTTGCTGCCATTCATTGAACCAAACATGCCCGTTCCATGGACACGTTGGTCCCAGTATCTCGAATGATGACTACCTCTCGACAAAAAACAAAACGGCCAATGATGCATGCTTACCTCTTTGTACATGAGACAAGGCAGAAGACAAAAGACAAAATACATGGGCCCATTAATACCACTGGCGATGGCGATGCTACAGACAGCGGTCGGGCGAATGACGGTGCGTCGGAGCACAAAGCAGAACAGAGACCATTACTATGGGACAGGATGGCTCGGTTCTTCTGAAAAACAAGAACAATATAAAGCCATGAGCCAGCCTCGGCTCCAGGCCGTGAGCGCGCGTATAAAAGAAGGCTCCAAAGAAAATGCTCGTTAGGACGGTATCGCTGGGTAAAGGGAGGCGCAGTGAAGAGAGAGAATGAGAACGGGCCAGCGTCGACTCTGCTGCCAGGACGGGTATTATTTATCAAAGCACCAGTGAATTTTCATGTCTGGATTTTTCTTCACCTGAGCCCCTGTCTCCTGCTTCTCGCAACAAAATGGGGTTGGATGCATCGTCGTGCTACGCAGTACGTTGTACACCGAGGCAACATGCATCTTGTACGAACAACGCCATGGCAAAAGGCTGTTTCAGTAAGAACGAAAGTACGACGGTCCTCGGTACACGAGCGAGACACGAGCGAGACACGCAGGCGCCACAAGGAGAGCGTAGCACAAGACGGCGTACGACATACGTCCGACAGTGGCACGGGAAGACAGACGGTGAGTAAGATCAGCTGCACTGTGCCGCCGCATGTTGCGTCTTTTTGTCGTAAAGCCTCCAGCCTCCTCTGTGCTGTCTTGTGTTCTGCCAATCCTTTTGTTGTAATGCAAGAGCCCTTGTACACAGGACGGGTGTTTGAAAGCAAACGAAAAATTCAAAAATTAAAATGTCAGAACGGCCGGTGTACCAAACTTTGGTTCAACCAACGGGCAGCTTTCCATTTCCGTGTAACATGTAATTCCGACGTACAAAGTATGTTCCCGCCACAGGGACAAGGGACAGTGGTGCCTAAAGAGAATGCAAAGAAAAGACGGCCAAATAACAGCACCAAAGAGGCATCCCACACTCGCCCATCCCTTGGCTCAGTTGCCTCCAAACGTCATCTTTTCAGCCTGCCTGGTCCTGGAGACGCCGCTCCGCGAACCTCGTGGGAAAAACAGCGCGTTTGGCGTGTTTTCTAGAGGTGTGTAGAATTGGCCCCGTTTTGTTGTTTTTTATTCCTTTACTTTCTCGTCTTTCTTTGCCCTGCTTTTGCGGCCCCGTCCCGTCTTCCGCGTCCCGTAGTCTGACAGTCCGTCGCTTTTTCGATACACTAATTTTGTGGGCTGGGCTCACCGAAGTTGGACGTAATTACAGAGTACGGAATATCGCGTCGTACTTGGACGGTCTAAAATCTCGCAAATGGCATCCGTTTTGATCTCCGTTTTCAATTTTCGTCGTACGACTTTTCCTGTCACCTCCCATTCCTCATCTCCTGGCATGCGGTGTGTCTCTGACCAGATCTACGCGCACCCAAAGTGTCGGTGAGTCTCAAAAGATGCCAGTCAGGCCGTGTCAAGCACGGGCGAGACGATCCGTACATGTTTTGTAGAGAAAGAAGAGGGAAGAAAAAAACAAGTCAACAAGAGAGGACGGGACAAATGCCGGCGCGGCGCAGAAGACAAGAAATCATGGCAAGGGAAAAAAGTATCTTGACCGAAGGGGGTGTGTAACTTTGCACAAACAGTGCTCACATTTGTGCCCCCTATTTTCTTATTTCTTTTTATTTCTGGCTTCCTTTTTCTTTCCCGCTTTGTCGATGAGAGTGTCCACACTTCAACTTTCCCCCTAGACTAGCGCCCATAGTGGAGCTGCACCAAATATCGGGCGAAATTTTGGGAAATGGAAAAGGAATGGAACAAGCGGGGACCCTCGGATCCCAGACGAGCCAGAGCAGCGGCCTGGCAGGTATGTTACGAGAGAGGGAACAACAGAAGAGTGAAAAGGCAAGAGAAGAAAAAAGAGGGAAGAACTGGTAGAATTGGAAAGAGTCATACATAATACCTCGTCGTTGTGATTTGAATAATCGTTTATGACTCCCTCCATTTGAAAGCGCAAGAATACAAAAGAGAAGAGAGAACGACAGGGAAAGAAAACAATAACAAATGCCAGGAACTCAAAATAACACCAAGGAACGGAATTGCGCCGAGAAAGTGCCCCATCTGTCCCTTCCACCGAAAAGGAACGCGGTACGAGATATTCGTACAGGTATGAGTGCTGCGTATACAGCATACAGCATACAACATACAACATACGTAGCAGACGTGCGACGTAATCCTCCTTAAATTGGCAACAGTCGCCTGCCGTCAAAAAGTAAACATGCAACGGACTTCCCAACAAACTTGCTTCCCCCTGTCTTGTTTTTGTCGTTTCGGCAAAATAAAAGAAACTCCGTGCAGACTCTGGTCCAGGATCCTTGCGGGCTACAGAGTGCAGCTTGGCCTGGGCCCTGGCTACTGTTGATATTACTCGCGTGCACGTACCAAGGCACGAAAATACGGAAAGGGTGTAGAATAGAGGACAAGCAAATGAGAACAGTGGAAAAAAAAAACATGAAAAAAGATGAAAAAAAGACGAGGGACTTTAAGACGTAAACAACGGGGTTTTGGCTATTGTTCAGCCGAACCGAGTGAATCATAGCCGTCGCTTCCTGCCTCACCTGCCCTACTCAAACGTTTCCGACCTTTCTGTTGTCGTTCACCGATTGTTTTTGTTTCTTTCTTTTCACATTCCCTCGTTGTACGACGTACATCGTATCTCGTCTCCGCTGAATGCTCTAGCGGTGTGAAGACGGCAACGAATTTCCTGCTGTCCATTTGCTTTTGCCTCCTTTTTCCATTGTCTCGTCTTATTCGGATCCCTTGCCCTACCAAGGTCCAATCCCAAACAGAAAATTTTGCCACAATTCTCCCACCCCCTTTTCCATCACACCCCTGCCAAACACACACAAACCCTCTCGGTTGGTCCCTTTCAGTTTTTATCCAAAAGACCCTTTGTCATTTTCTGTTTCTTTTCATCCGGTCTCCTATCCCGTTCTCTCGCTTCCGTCTTCTTATTTCAACGCGGTGTACAATGTAGTCTACAATTTGTCTCATAACAAACAAGAGGGCGTCGTGGAATGAACTTCAAGGTTGCTAGAGATTTCGAGTAGAATGCAACTGATTTTCCGTCCCTGTTATTCTCTTCTTCTGACTCACAGGGCAAAGAAAAAAGCCCTGCCAACAGGCTCGACGACGTACATTATGTCGTTTGCAAACAGCCCCATTCGCTCATTCAGAAGTGGTCCAGAGAATTTTCCCCTGCAAGTCGTCGTGTCGTTGGTCACTGGCGTCCTGCGTTGCGGTCCAATCTACTCCGTTGTACGGAGTATGCCATGCGTCTGCGCGAGCGTGCAAAGGACATGGAAAAGACGAGGTTTCGCTGCTGCTCACCGCGGTGCCTGCACGCCTGACAAACCAAAACACGGTCCGCCCCCCGATTGGGTAGCCATACATGAACACCATTAACTTGACAGCAAAACTTGTGAATTGTGACGAGAGGCCACCACCCACACTTCTTATGTCTCGATTTCTCGACTTTTATTTCCCCTTCTGAACACCTTGATGCATGCTGTAAACTACACCCTGTCGCGCCCAGGCAGCTGCAGACAGTGCAGTCGCAGCCCGTCTTCTCTGCCCTTCCTACGCTAATCCGTACCTGGCAATTATATATGCCGGGATCAATATCCCTGTCGCGTTTTTTTTTCTTCTGTTTATGTGGTGTTGCGCGCTTCTTGCTCTCTCCGTCTCCTATTGCCGACGACACACGTGATTGTTCTACAAGTTTTTGTCCACGAAGAATGAGATAGAAGAATGAGTCACAGTGGGAAGAAGAAGGAGGAGGAGGAGGAACAGGATGAAGAGGAGAAGTCGGTATGATGAATAATTCAAACAAGAAATCTAACGTGTTGACACAGCGCTGTACGAAGTATTGCAGCAGAAGAGACAACTGGCGGATGGCCGTTTCCGTTTCCTACCCCTGCAAAAGACACTTGTCCCAGAAGATGTAAGATGGGCAGGAAGAGCATTACAGCATACAAATTACAGTTGAAGGATACCACTCCGACATACACATAAGATGCATCGTTCGTACATCGTAAAGCCACAGGCGGTACGACAGCAACGCCGAATGCACAAACACAAAGGCCCGCAGCCCACCGAATGGGCTTTGTTGTCTGTTTCCATCCAGCCCTAGGTGACCATTCTACTCCACCGTTGAGCTCATCGTGCAGGCGAGCACACGAGCAGTCTTTTCCTAGCGTGATGCAAGCCGCTGCAACGATGATGCCAAATACCAATGGGCGGTGTCCACACTCACCCACACAACAAGCGACACATGCGAGCGAAATAAATCAGCCCAGCGTCCTCTGCATGCAAGAGCAGCGCCGACATGCACACGCCCCTACGATTTTGCTTGACCTTGGGTCGAATTATTTCCTACGGTGTCGGTTGGTACTGAATGCAGAAAAGGTCGGCCGTTGCCGGTTGTTGCTGTTGCTGTTGCTGTTGTATTTGGTGTCTTTTCTTCTCTCACCGCGTCCAAAAATGGTGACCATGGAGGGGCAGTCGTCACTTTGACATTGACAGTGGCCATGTTTGGTGGTTCCCTCTTCCATCGATCGCACTTGGTGTGGCCTGGCCTGGCCTGGCCGGGTCTGGGCTGGACTGACCCGGCCCGCGGCCGCCCTGGCCATGCCGCGATGGCCTTTGGTTGGGTCACAACAAAACACGATTTTCTGGCCAACCGACAAGACCTGGGCCCGGAATCAACAAGACGGCCAGCCGGTGGAGGCCAGGTCGAATTGGTCGGCTGCACAGCGTAAACTCATGAAAGTACAATGGTTTTGTTTGACTCCAAACCCGCACGCCCCTTACTGCGAAGGCCTCCTTGTTAACATGATCAACATACCTCTTGCATGGTCTCCGCCGCCCCGTAACCTTCACCGACACTTTAGATATTCTGTCCGCTTTGCTGTGATCCAATCGAGCCTCAGTGCTGGTCGGCGTCCGACAACCGGGAGGGGTAGCTATCCAGACACAATGTGCCATTGCCCCTCTTCCCTCGTGTCGTTCTTCCTTGTACTGTTATTTTGACTTCCAAGTTTTCGTATTTGTCTTCGCTTGCAGATTCCATCTGCATCATGCGTTGTCCACCGAACTACGACCGGACACGGGCCAAGGGACCGGTCGTATGCTCCGAGATGCAGCACGTAGACCGGATAGAACATTCGGCAGGTCTCCTCTTGTCAGAATAGCAGAGACTCTTGTATCCACGTTGGGCGTAAACAGGCAGTAGTGACCTCAGCACGATTGCTTGTTGCTATACATCGTTATCAATGTTTCCAAACGGAACAGAAATGACACTATCAGCGAGGAAGATTTACAAGTAAAGGCAAATCAAAAGACGTGAAGTGGTAGGAGCACAATATCGTTGGCAAAAGACAACACGCTTGATGTGACGTTCGACCATTCTTCATTTGACTTGCTTCACTATCACTGACAATATCACTGCCATGACAGCATCGGCGCACGATGTCTTGAGTTTGCTTGTTTACTTAATCGACATCTTATGCCATTCTTATTTAATATGTCCTGAGATGGACGCTGGTTTTCTTTTGGTGATTGCTCTTTGCGTACCATAAAGTTGTGGTCATCATGGTGAGCGACTCCCTGCATGATGGCATATGGCTTACAACGCATATGATGCATATGGACCGTGACCCTGTCCTATTTTCTCAGATGAACATCCATTCCTGCCAGTACTGTTTCCGTGTTGCAGCTCACCATGAGTCACATAGCACCACATCAGTTGGCACCTTATCAGTTGGCATCTTGATCCCATCGCCGTACATGGCATGGCAGGAGAAAACCCACATCAATTCCCCCGAAAGCCACAATGTTAACACTTGCTACTACCGCATCTGCATGCTGCATTGTCCTCGGTTTGGCCGAGTCCATTGATACATGTACCGTCTACATCAAGTTTTGCAGCTTGCCACATCAGCAGTGCCCCTCTCGTTCCATGATACTGCGTCTTTCACTGTTGACATCACCCCGCCATGGGTCTCTGTCGTGGACTCAAAGGCTAGAAATGCTCCGGCATCGGGATCCTGGTGATAAGGAACGATCCATAGTTGACAGGTTCGAAGCCCAATCTGTCCGCTTCGGATGAACAGAACAACATGTCCGTTCATTTCCTTGTGTGGTCCCGTCTATCCCTAAAAGGCGAGGCAGAGCGACGGCAAAATCTGGACCTGAGGGATCACCAAGCACAAAGATTGACGCGTTGTAGCTGAAGACGCAAGAAAGGAGGTCAAAGACAGATGGATCAGGACCAAATCGAGTTGCTTGATTGGGTTTCAGTGAAGAGTGTGGCTTGGCTGTCTTTGTTAAAATCCACCACAGCCCTGATGTAGAAGACGTACATACTTGCAGAGTATTTCTGACGTTCTCTTCTAAGATTTCTGTTACCCGTTGTCCCCTTGGAAACGCGATTCCAGCGACTGAACAAGGGATGTGACTCGACTTACACGGCTGTTTATGGTTTCCAGGCCGTTGGGTCGTGGCTGTGTGTCCCCACGTGATCGTTGGGCTGCAACAACGTCTCTCATCTGATGGCGTGTCCGTTCCGATCAACTTTTCGGCCACTCTTGCCAACCAGAGAGCGCAACGTCTTGTGAGACTGCATGATTTTATTTTTGGGGGTTTCCTTCGCCTCAGTAAATGACTACTGCGTCTTCCACAGTCCTTCTGTGGGTTTCCATAGACAAGTGACTTGTTCGTTTTTTATTTTCGTTTTGTTGACAAATCGTGCGCTGTGCATCGATTTTTGCGCTTGACCGACACTTTTTATTTGTTTGCCTGAATTTGCACTGCCCGTTTTTGTAGCCACTACTTTCCCACTTTTCTCTCATTTTATATTCTCAAAAAGGTACATTCAAATTATATTTCATTATTTTCATCCAAATTACGGTGTACACACCCCATCTGTTCACAAGTACCTCTTTCTTCATAGTGTGATTGGGCCGCAAAGGAACCACTGATGAATCGAAGCTGACGATAATGCCTGGCGTTGGCTCCAAGTCTGGAAAGGGGGGTTAAATAAGATGTGAAATACGGAGTACGACATACACTGTTAGTAAATGTGATTTGCTGCTCTTCGACTTTCTCTTTAGTTTGATTCATGCATTGGCCTCTCTGTTGCCCTTCTGCTTCGCAACTATATGCCACTATTTGCACTCGCCTGTCGTTTGTCTCCCCCCAAAAAGTGAGTCATTCGCCACTCCTTCGGTTCATTTTTGTGAATATTTTGGGGTTTTTTTTTTTTTTTTTTTTCTTTACTGTTCCAATTGCTCTCCTATTTTCTTCAAGAAAGAGGTCGTCTCAAGAGTTGCACTAGCACGAATAAGACGCCTCTCGCTCCGTTCCGTAGTTGACGAGCTATTTTACAAGTCGAATTTGCCACCCCCTTCTTCGCTTCCGCCCTTCCCCTTTTCCATCACTGGCTTGTACATATATCTTGTCATGCGCAAAAGTAAAAAGGAGGCAGAAATTCACAGTAGTAAGCCAGTAAAGCCAAACCATGATGAAAAATTGCCGTCCGCCAATGATAACCACAGCGGCGTGAAGTTGCCCACCGTTGGCTCCAGTAAATGTTCACGGTCGTGTAGGCGCACTTGGGTTGGAAGGGTGTCGTCCAGTCTTCGCGTAGGCAGCCGTCTCACGCGTGAGACAACGAGTGGGAGAGTGGCCAGTTGCAACAGAACCTAGGCCGGCCGTTGGTTGTCGTCCAAGTAGCGCGTGTCCTGTGCCTCGTCGCAGACAGCCAAAAATGACACGGATGGCCTGTACGAGGCTGAAAACCAGTGTTTGGCCATCGATTGGATCGCGATGACAGCCCTCTGAAGGGTCACGACAGGACTGTCTTTTGTTTTCATCTTCGTACTAGACATGACACAGCGCATTCTTGAAAAGCAGATAGCAGTGTAGCATGTGATTACTTTTTCATAGCGTACTCTGCCCTCGTATTTGCTTTTCTTTCTTTCTTGGCCCAATCGTTCATGTGCCTTGCTTCGCCAGGCGTGGTTTGCTCACGACACTACTCTTAACTTTACTAGCAATCTCGCCATTTCCTTGCAAAACGAGGATTGTATCTTTACATCAAAAGTACTTCACAGCCTCCAAAAAGCCTCAGCATTTATTTTGTACACCCCTCATGAGTGTCATAAATCGAAGTACCTCTCGTTTCGCACCGAAAAGCACGGAAAGTTGGACAGAAACGCAGCAGAACTCGGTCACATGCCTCTCCTCATAAGCGATGAGGTGTTAAAATAAGCCTCAGAGTTTCACGAATGAGGCTGACTATGTGCTTGGAAGTTGAATAGGATAAAGTAATAGGTCGCTCTTGTTTCTAATTATTGATCCGGTGACGGTCATGGGAAGTATATGACAGAACTGTGACTCTTTTTATGACTATGGTGATCTGAAATACGGTTCCTGATTGCCATCGAGATCCCCATAACAAGTTGGCCTCATTTTGCATTTCGTTTTAATTCCGATATAATTTTCTAAAATAAGACGAAAAAAGGATATGCATCTAGTTCTCCAATATCGAGGAGGTCACAGAACAAATACGGAGTAATAGAAGAGAAACGGACAACCTAACAAAAAAAAAATACACTCATGAGGCGTACTCGAGGCGCAAGGCAAAAGCTGTGACCGCACACGCAGTTTCTTCGTGCAATTTTGTCCTCGTGATCAACCATGTGCCTGGCTGTGTGACCAGGCCTGAACCAATCGCTAGTGTTATCAATGCTGCTTTGTTGGCTTCCTGTTTTGGACAATCGGTTTAGAGAGGGGAACTCGTGCTGTGCAGATTACTGTGCGTTTTGTTAGGGCAGGAGCGAGCGAGCAAGGCTGGCGACGACAACACAATAGGAAGGAGCCATAGCAAGACACGAAACGGAAGGCAGGAGGAAGCGAGCGAGACGCAAAAGCGCACTGTCCATTGCTGTCTCTTACTCATCCCTTTCCACCATGGACGAACGCGCCCGCATCCCCGTGACGCTGCCGCGCCCACACCCCACGAAACCCTTCTGGCAGGACCCGCCCGATGCCGATGTGGCCGACCTGCGCTCCACGGCGGAGCTGCCGGCGGCTGCCGACATCGTGATTGTCGGCAGCGGCATCACGGGTGCGTCGATTGCATACCACCTGCAACTGCAGCAGCGGCAGCAGGCGTCGTCAAAGAGAGCGTCGGTGCTGATGCTCGAAGCCCGTCAGGCCTGCTCGGGCGCGACTGGCCGCAACGGCGGGCACACCAAGGCGGCGTCGTACCGGTCATTTCGAGACCACGCGGCGGCGCTGGGCGTGGAGGCGGCGGTGCAGATTGCGCGGCTGGAGCTGGCTGCGATCCAGGGAGTGCACCGGCTGGCGGGGACGCTCCCACGCGGAGACGACCCGAGCGAGGACGCAGTCGAGTGCGACTCCCACCCCTGCGATACGCTCGATGTGGTGTACGACCCGACAGAGTGGGCCCGGGCCCAAGAGGCGGTGGCGGCGATGCAAGCGGCGATGCCGGCGGGCGACCCGGCGGCGGCGTACACGCTGTACAGCCGCGACGAGGCATTGGCGCAGTTCCCGTGCAGCGACCATGTGGATGCAGCGACGGGCGCGGTGACATCCATCTGCGGTGTGGTGCGGTACCCGGCCGGCAGCGTGTCGGCGTACCGGTTTACAGTGGGCATTGTGAAGCGGTGCCTCGCCAAGGGGCTCAACCTGCAGACGAACACGCCGGTGGTGACGATTGAGAAGCACCGAGACG